ACAAAAAAAAACCTCTCTAGCAAATACACACCAAACTGAGCATGTGCAGAATGGCTTCGATTCAGTCTGTCCTATCAGGAGATAAGAGGGGGGCACTGGAAGAAGGGGAGGATCAGATAAGACAGGATTAAATGGGCTTTTTGAACAATGCAGAGGATTAACCCCTTAGGTTCCACAGTGAGTATAACAAGCATGCTTTACTGCATCTACAGACTAATTGTACTGTTGTGGGTTTATTTTGCATTACAAAGTATTTCAAAATAATTTTTTTGCTGTATTACCAACATTTAGTTTCTGACACTTTGCCGACCCCTCATATGGATTTAAACCGGCGCCAGGCTCTCAAACAGACAATTGGACGCCAAGGGATAGCGTAATTCTCTTTTACGGCGATAACAATGGATCAGGGCGATGATGTCATAGAAGGACTGCGAGCTACAGGCTAATATTTTCAGCAAACATGATTTAGACTTCACCTCGGGTCATGTGACACGGGCTGCCCCCGCTGCAAGAACAGACACGTCCTCAATATATCCTGCGGCCCGCGGCGGGGTTTCCATCGGTGGTTTGGGTTTCCTGCCATGTGTCATGTAACAGAACTCCGAGGAAAGTCGTCCTTAACGACTTCTGTCAGCGCGGCCCACACATATGTACAGGATAGAAATTCTTCTGATTCTTCCGACTACTATTACAATGGCGGCTGAACTATGCGAGCTATGCGATAATCGGTCGCCAACTATGTCCAATGTGTGATACAACAGGAGAGAGCCGCGTACAGTTGTGACGCCCTGCTGATATACCAACTTAACACATTGCAGGAGAAAGCACAAAAATCAATGATCAATCAAACAATTAATCAAGTTAATCAATTCATATATTAACTGCTTCCCCGCCGCCCTATAGCAGAAACACTGCCACAGGGCGGCAGGGATGCACAAAATCACGTATATATACGTGATTTGCATTTCTGGGTAGGGGGCGCACATGCGCGTGCCGCCCTACCCACGCCGCAGGAGAAAGCACAAAAATTAACGATCAATCAAACAATTAATCATGTTAATTATTTAATATATTAACCGCTTCCCCCCCCCCGCCCGCCCTAAAGCAGAAACACTGCCGCAGGGCGGCAGGGCTGCGCAAAATCACGTATATATGCATGATTTGCAGTTCTGGGTAGGGGGCGCACGTGCACGTGCCGCCCTACTTGCGCCGCAGGAGGAAGCACAAAAATCAATGAATAATTAAGTTAATCAATTAATACATTAACCGTTTCCCCGGCGCCCTATAGCAGAAACACTGCTACAGGGCGGCAGGGCTACGCAAAATGACATATAAGTACGTGATTTCCATTTCTGGGTAGGGGGCACGCGCACGTGCCGCCCTACCTCACCGCAGGAGGAAGCACAAAAATCAATGATCAATCAAGCAATTAATCAAGTTAATCAATTAATATATTAACCGCTTGCCTGCCACCCTATAGCAGAAATACTGCCACAGGGCGGCAGGGCTGCGCAAAATCACATATATGTACGTGATTTCCATTTCTGAGTAGGGGGCATACACACGCGCACGCGCCACCCTACCCGCACTGCAGGAGGAAGCACAAAAATCAATGATAAAACAATCATGTTAATTATTTGATATATTAACCGCTTCCCCGCTGCCCTATAGCAGAAATACTGCCACAGGGCGGCAGGGCTACACAAAATCACATATGTACGTGATTTCCATTTCTGGGTAGGGGGCGCACATGCGCGTGCCGCCCTACCCACGCCACAGGAGAAAGCACAAAAATTAACGATCAATCAAACAATTAATCATGTTAATTATTTAATATATTAACCGCTTCCCCCGCCGCCCTAAAGCAGAAACACTGCCGCAGGGCTGCGCAAAATCACGTATATATGCATGATTTGCAGTTCTGGGTAGGGGGCGTACGTGCACGTGCCGCCCTACTTGCGCCGCAGGAGGAAGCACAAAAATCAATGAATAATTAAGTTAATCAATTAATACATTAACCGTTTTCCCCGGCGCCCTATAGCAGAAACACTGCTACAGGGCGGCAGGGCTACGCAAAATGACATATAAGTACGTGATTTCCATTTCTGGGTAGGGGGCACGCGCACGTGCCGCCCTACCCTCACCGCAGGAGGAAGCACAAAAATCAATGATCAATCAAGCAATTAATCAAGTTAATCAATTAATATATTAACCGCTTGCCTGCCACCCTATAGCAGAAATACTGCCACAGGGCGGCAGGGCTGCGCAAAATCACATATATGTACGTGATTTCCATTTCTGAGTAGGGGGCATACACACGCGCACGCGCCACCCTACCCGCACTGCAGGAGGAAGCACAAAAATCAATGATAAAACAATCATGTTAATTATTTGATATATTAACCGCTCCCCCCCCGCTGCCCTATAGCAGAAATACTGCCACAGGGCGGCAGGGCTACACAAAATCACATATATGTACGTGATTTCCATTTCTGGGTAAGGGGGCACACGCACGCGCCACTCTACCTGCGCCGCAGGAGAAAGCACAAAAATCAACGAACAATTAATCGTGTTAATCAGGGGCGGACTGACCATTTGGAAACTCGGGCACTCTCTCCCTGACACCTGGAGACAAGCTGTTTATGGTCAGCTCTATAAAGCGGAACAAAGGCACTGATATGGTGTCCGCGGTATTGGACCAGCGTTGACTTCCTCCCAGTGCCAGGCATGGTGGAGGCAGGGGTGGACTGACCATTTGGAAACTGGGGCACTGCCCGAGGGCCCGGGGTCAGTAGGGGGCCCCATGAGATGCTCCTGGTACCTTTTTCATAGGCTTTTTTGAGTTTGGGCAAGGACAGGGGCCCCATGATCCCCTATTGCCCGGGGGCCCCATGAGTTGTCAGTCCGCCCCTGGTGTTAATTAATTAATATATTAACTGCGTCCCTGCCGCCCTATAGCAGAAATACTGCCACAGGGCAGCAGGGCTACGCAAAATCACATATATGTATGTGATTTCCATTTCTGGGTAGGGAGCGCATGCACGTGCCCTGCCCGCGCTGCTGGAGAAATCACAAAAGTCAATGATCAATCAAACAATTAATCATGTTAATTAATTAATATATTAACCGCTTCCCCGCCTGCCCTAAAGCAGAAACACTGCCACAGGGCATCAGGGCTGCGCAAAATCACATATATGTACGTGATTTTCATTTCTGGGTAGGGGGCACACACACGCGCGCGCGCGCCACTCTACCCGCGCCGCAGGAGGAAGCACAAAAATCAATGATCAATCAAACAATTAATCTAGTTAATTATTTAATATATTAATCGCTTTAAAGCAGAAATACGCTTCCCCGCCGGGCCGCCCTAAAGCAGAAATACTGCCACAGCGCGGCCGGGCCTGTGGCAGTCACCAGGGTATTAGTCTAGGTTTACACCTCCCCTGGAAACCTAGTCAGAAAACACTTAAGTGTGATCCTAGCAGGGGCGGACTGACCATTTGGAAACTCGGGGCACTGCCCAGGGCCCGGGGCCAGTAGGGAGCCCCATGAGATGCCCCTGGTACTTTTTTATAGGCTTTTTTGAGTTTGAGCAAGGACACAGGGGCCCCATGATCCCCTATTGTCCGGGGCCCCATGAGTTGTCAGTCCGCCCCTGGATCCTAGGATGCAGGAAGGCCGGAGTCCAACCTTTTGGGCAAAAAAATCCCTTTTGGGTGGAATGCGCCTTTAATATGTAGGAAGGCGGCGAACATGATATCTCTGCACTGCAGCAGAAACGTAAAAACTCGACGGCGAGAGGTCCTGCCGGTCATTATCGGTTTGCTCTGCCGGCAAGGAAGGAAAAAAAAAGCAGAAAGTAGAAACCGCAGCGACTGAGAACGCTATCAGGGCGTGGAATCAAACATCCTCCCAGGCCGGGACTTCCGCACACAAACAAACCGCTGTTGTAGTAACGCCTTATCAGCACCGCTGCTCAATGTGCACATGAAGACAAGTAGGGATTCAGCCCGGGTTCACACTGATGCGGTGCGGAATTTGCAGCGTTTTCTGTGCAAATTCCTCACCGCATCACAATCTCACCCCGTTCATGTGAACCGCTGCGGGTGTGTATAATAAACTAACAACAACGCGGTGCGATGTGCAGAATCGGGTGTGAACACCCATGCGATCCGATTCTAGTGCAGACCCAAAAAAGGGTCCTGCACCTTTCGGGTGCGGGTGCGGTGCGATTACAGCCATACAAAATGTAAGGCTCCGATCGCCCCGCACACAAATCGCATGTGACTTGCGCAGGAATGCGATGCGGTTCTGTGCGAATCACATGTGATATACCGCACCGCATGTATGTGAACCCGACTCAATGATTTTCGGCCCCCGGGAAGCTTCAAGAAAACTCTGATTGCTACTGGCGATTTCTGACTGTTACTGTGCAGACAGGGGCGGACTGACCAATCGAGCACTCGGGCACTGGTCAGTAGGGGGCCCCATAAAATGCCCCTGGTACCTGCGGACAGGCAGGATACTAAATTGCTGGATGACACAGAGAGAGGGGAGATGATTGCAGAGATGGGGCTCGCCAGCTGCTGTTCTACTTGCAGTCCTAGCAGGATCCGGACCAGGGGCGGACTGACCATTTCGAAACTCGGGCATTGCCCGAGGGCCCGGGGTCAGTAGGGGGCCCCATGAGATGCCCCTGGTACCTTCTTCATAGGCTTTTTTGAGTTTGGGCAAGGACACAGGGGCCCCATGATCCCCTATTGCCTGGGGGCCCCATGAGTTGTCAGTCCGCCCCTGATCCGGACAAACTTGGAAAACACTTCGGAAAGCAGATCATTAATTACGCCGCAACCTCCAACCAATCCCTTTCCTGGACCCGGCTCCCCCTGTCCTCCAAAACTGGCCCAAATTTTCCAATCTGTAGAAATTTACATGCCGGCCATAGACGGATCGAAATTCGGCCAAATCAGCAGGGACCAGATGAATTTAGATCCATCCAGGGGCGGACTGACCATTTGGGAACTCAAGGGCCCGGGGTCAGTAGGGGGCCCCATAAAATGCCCCTGGTACCTTTTATAGGCTTTTTTGGGTGTGTTTTGAGTGTGGGTGATTTTGCGCATTTTCCTAAAACACAAAGCCGAAGGGACTTCCAAAGTACAAAAGCAACAACCCAGATGTATTGCTACCATCTAGAAAGTGACATGAATATTCGGTTTGTTCCAGATGTTCCCAGCGCTAGGCGGATTGTTCCCTTAGAAGGATCTATTGTCAATTTTGGATACATTAAATATAAAATAGCAGAAGAGGGATCTATAAATAGGTCCAATGATTCATCCATTTCCCAGTAACACTGGAGGAGAACCTCTGACTTCTTCATAGTAAATGTCAGCGGGAACTTCTCACTTCTCTCTCCCTGACACCTGGAGACAAGCTGTTTATGGTCAGCTCTATAAAGCGCGGAACAAAGGCACTGATATGGTGTCCGCGGTATTGGACCAGCGTTGACTTCCTCCCAGTGCCAGGCATGGTGGAGGCAGGGGTGGACTGACCATTTGGAAACTGGGGCACTGCCCGAGGGCCCGGGGTCAGTAGGGGGCCCCATGAGATGCCCCTGGTACCTTTTACATAGGCTTTTTTGAGTTTGGGCAAGGACACAGGGGCCCCATGATCCCCTATTGCCCGGGGGCCCCATGAGTTGTCAGTCCGCCCCTGGGCAGAGGCATACAAAAAGAAAGTCCTTTGGGGCTAATTCCCATTGCAGCCAAGGGACAGTAAAATCTATTGACAGTTTACTTTAGGCGTGTCTAAAAATGAAAATCATTGCCTTGAAAAAAAAAAAAAAAAAAAAAACACGGTTTATTTTGTATTTAATCGTCTATTGTGTGTTTTATCCTGCAGATTTTTTCCGCAGCTCACTTATCATCTTGGCTTTTGTTACCTTTTGCACAGTATATAAAAGATCTAATGTTTGAAAAAAAAAAAAAAGTCAATTCATAATGCAAGTAACACAGGACTTCAGTATTATAATATACAGGACAGATAAAAGAAAGTGTAAACCTGCCGGGGCACGTACTTTGCTGCAATAAACTGCAGAGGAATGCTGCAAAAAGGATTTTCTTTTCATAGAATTCTTAAGAATGCTGCAGAACGAGCTGATCACTTTTATAGAAACCAGTGAGGTCACTACAGATCATGGGGCCCCATGACGTTTTGATGGGGCCCCCGGAGACCTCCCCACTGTTATTCATCCTAACATAGAGTATGTTTGAAGTGTTACTAAACCCAGGACCCTGCATTCACTATATCTGGTCCCCCCAGACCCTGCATTCACTATATCTGCTCTACCCGAACCCTGCATTCAATATATCTGGTCTCCCCGGACCCTGCATTCACTATATCTGGTCTCCCCAGACCCTGCATTCACTATATCTGGTCTCCCCGGACCCTGCATTCAATATATCTGGTCTCCCCAGACCCTGCATTCACTATATCTGGTCTCCCCGGACCCTGCATTCACTATATCTGGTCTCCCCGGACCCTGCATTCACTATATCTGCTCTCCCCGGACCCTGCATTCAATATATCTGGTCTCCCCGGACCCTGCATTCACTATATCCAGTCTCCCCGGACCCTGCATTCACTATATCCGGTCTCCCAGGACCCCGCATTCACTATATCCAGTCTCCCCGGACCCTGCATTCACTATATCTGGTCTCCCCAGACCCTGCATTCACTATATCTGGTCTCCCCGGACCCTGCATTCACTATATCTGGTCTCCCAGGACCCTGCATTCACTATATCCGCTCTCCCTGGACCCTGCATTCACTATATCTGGTCTCCCGGACCCTGCATTCACTATATCTGGTCTTCCCCGGACCCTGCATTCACTATATCTGGTCTCCCCGGACCCTGCATTCACTATATCTGGTCTCCCCGGACCCTGCATTCACTATATCTGGTCTCCCAGACCCTGCATTCACTATATCTGCTCTCCCCAGACCCTCCATTGACTATATCTGCTCTCCCCAGACCCTCCATTCCCTATATCTGGTCTACCCGGACCCTGCATTCACTATATCTGGTCTCCCCGGACCCTGCATTCACTATATCTGGTCTCCCCGGACCCTGCATTCACTATATCTGGTCTCCCCGGACCCCGCATTCACTATATCTGGTCTCCTCGGACCCCGCATTCACTATATCTGCTCTCCCCGGACCCTACATTCACTATATCTGGTCTACCCGGACCCTGCATTCACTATATCAGGTCTCAGGGCAGTGGACAGGGTCAGTAGAACAGTAGACAGTGCCAGTGGGGCAGTGGACTGTATCAGGAAGGTAGTGGATGGTGTCATCAGTAGATGGGTGGCGGGGGTGGCATTTACTAGAACCGATCACCCGTATTTTCCTCCTGTGGCAGCTGAATGCTGGCGGGAGGAGGAGAAGCGGATTTCAGCTACTGCTAGAGGATCGGTCCTAGTAAATGCCACCCCTGCCGCCCCCTCCTAGAAAGCTTGCACAGCAGACTCAACTTGATGTAAGAGGGGAATCTGATGTAAGGAGAACTTTGATAGGGACTCTGATGTACGGGGGGGGGGGGGGCTGTGATGGGGATTCTGATCTAAGGAGGGACTGTGATGGGCTCTGTGATGGCGATTCTGATCTAAGGAGGGACTCTGATGGGGATTATGATGGAGATTCTTATCTAAGGAGGGACTCTGATGGGGACTGTGATGGAGATTCTGATCTAAGGAGGGACTCTGATGGGGATTATGATGGAGATTCTTATCTAAGGAGGGACTCTGATGGGGACTGTGATGGAGATTCTGATCTAAGGAGGGACTCTGATGAGGACTCTGATGGGCTCAATTTATTTGGAATTTATTTTCTCTATTTTACTGTTATATTCTAAATCATATCACCCTGATTACAAAAGAAATCCAAGTAAAATGTTTCCCTTATTTAAATTTTGTTTGTTAATTTATATTTTTGGCCCAAATTTTTTTATAAAATATACACTGAACCTTGATAGGGACTCTGATTTACAGGGGCTGTGATGGGGATTCTGATCTAAGGAGGGACTCTGATGGGGGCTGTGATGGAGATTCTGATCTAAGGAGGGACTCTGATGGGGGCTGTGATGGAGATTCTGATCTAAGGAGGGACTCTGATGGGGGCTGTCATGGGGATTCTGATCTAAGCGGGGAGCCCTCGCTTCTCATGGTGTCTGCAGTGCAGCAAGCGTCAGAACAGGCGAGGGAGAGCCGTCTTGTGTTATTATCAGAGGAGATACACAATGTGCCCCCCCCCCCCCCCCCACCCCGGGCCCCCCAGGCTGTGAGCACATTCCTGGCCACTCACACACAATTACTCAACCAAACCCCCCGTTAGACGGAACATGTGAGAGATGTAGGGCTATAGAGGAGGACTCTGAGATGACTCCGCACATTACCCGAGCCCCACAGCCAGAAGGTGTCACTACGCGGCCTGCTCACCGCGCTTCACCAACACAAATATAACCTGATCCCAGCCTGAGAGGGATGACAATGACAGAGAGAATTCCAGGAAAGACCAACTCAAGGCACGTCTTGTATCAGGGGCGGACTAACCATTTGGAAACTCGGGCACCACCCGAAAGCCCGGGGTCAGTAGGGGGCCCCATGAGATGCCCCTGATACCTTTTTCATAGGCTTTTTTTTTGGCAAGGACACAGGGGCCCCATGATCCCCTATTGCCCGGGGGCCCCATGAGTTGTCAGTCTCCCCTGTCTTGTATTAACCTGCGCTGGATAGAATGGGGAAGGGTTCCTCCAGAGGTTTCTAGGGGGTTCCCTGAGCAATGAGCAATATCCGCCTCTCAGAGGTTCCCGCTGACACCATTGATATTTTTAGCTATCTATAAGGAGGTAACCCTCATGGAAGAAAAAATATATTTGAAATACTACAATTGGCCGTATTCAATATATTTCAGTATGTATATTGGCAGCACAGTGGCTAAATGGTTAGCACTTCTGCCTGGCAGTACGAATCCCAACCACAACACCTCCTGCCTGGAGTTTGCATGTTCTCCCTGTGCCTGTGTGGGTTTCCTCCAGGTACTTTGGTTTCCTCCCACACTCCAAAGATATGCTAGTAGGTTAATTGGATCCTGTCTAAATTGTCCCTAGTATGTGTATGTATGAATGTGAGTTAGGGACCTTAGATTGTACGCTCCTCGGGGGCGGGGACTGATGTGAATGTACAATATACTGTATATGTAAAGTGCTGCGTAAATTGATGGTGCTATATAAGTACCTGAAATAAATATATATATACTGCATGTTGAAATGCATTTTTTTATATATTACGAAATATATGAAAAATGTTTTTAAAATATATATATGTTTTATTATATTCTTCAGATTTTTTTAACATATATTTGTGAATACATTCCAGAAATGCAGATTAAATGTATTTTTAAAAATATTAACGAGAGAAAGAGAAAGTGAAAACGAAGGAAGAGAATGAGAGAAAGTGAAAAAAAGAAATAGAAAGCAGTGCTCCGATCCAGGGGCGGACTGACCATTTGGAAACTCAGGCACTGCCCGAGGGCCAGGGGTCAGTAGGGGGCCCAATGAGATGCCCCTGGTACCTTTTTCATAGGCTTTTTTTTGAGTTTGGGCAAGGGCACAGGGGCCCCATGATCCCCTATTGCTCGGGGGCCCCATGAGTTGTCAGTCCGCCCCTGCTCCAATCACATCCCCCGCACACCACCCGATGTTCTCTGAGGACCTGGCCAGGATCGGACTGGTGGGGGGGGGGGCTTCCGGTGTGAGCTGCAAACCACCTCCTCTTCCCCCACTGATAGAGAATAGCCAGCTCCCCTCACTACATGTGGGCTGGATGGAGCAGGGAGCTGCAGAGGACCCGGATCTGGGATCGGTAGGGTCCCGATTGAAGAGTCAGAGCCTAGCCAAGGATGGAGAGGGCAACAGCAGCAGCACATCGCCAGGCACCGGACAGCCGATGCCATGATTGGACAATGGTCAGTCACAGTGTGGGACTTAGGATGACGTGAGATTAGTTTCTGCGCCCAGTGCGACCGCCCCAGCTGCCCCCCCCCCCATGCAATTGGGTTAAGTTGGCTAGAGCTACAAAGGAGATTTTTAGTAGCTGTTGTTCTTTCAGGGTTTCTGTTGTTGTTGGTTCTTAGGTCTGCTACCTGACCATTATGACCAGCTGTGACCCATTATAAAGGGTTCCCACCATGCTTGTGCTGAGGTCCGGGGTCTATCCACCTGCTGTGCTCCTTACACTGATCCTCTATAGCTTTATGACCACCCATCTAATATTTAGTAGGTTCCCCTTTTGTCACCAAAAAAGCCATAACCTGCTCTAGCATGGACTCCACTAGACCTCTGAAGGTATGCTGTGGTATCTGGCACCAAGCTGTCAGTAGAAGATCCTTTACACCCAAGGTGGGGCCTCCATGGACAGGACTTGGTGTTCCAGCACATCCATCAGATACTTACTTGAATTGAGATCTGAAGAATTTAGAGGCCAAGTTAACGCCTCAAACTCATTGTTTGTGCTCCTCAAACCATTTTGGAACCATTTTTTCAGTGTGGCAGGGCAGAATACCTGCTGAAAGAGGTCTCTGCCATCAGGGAATACCGTTTCCATAAAGGAGTGTACTCAGTAAGTAACAGTATT